TCGTTTCTCAATTTGACGAACGTTCAACAGTGGTCGCTCGGATCGCAGCTTGCCAGCCGTCGCTTCTGTGCCTTCAAGGAGATGATTGATGAAACAATCAGATCGGCTTGATTGTTGGAGAGCGGAACCTTCTCTGTCGCAACGCGGAGAATCCCGCAAGTTCCGAGCGGGAGCAATGAGCAAACAGTCGGGGGACGCAACAGCTCCCTTCAGCGCGATGCCACTATAAATACGAAATCACTGTTTGAGTGAGCAAGTGAGCGAGTGAGACCTGCCGATTTCGAGGAGGATCGGACTGAGAGGAGGGAACTCGTAAGGATCGTTCCGAGGGCAGTAATGTAGGCGAGGAAAACTAACGGAGGACGGGTACGTGTGAAGGGATTGGAGAAGGGCAGCGTTAACAACCGAGCACGCACCTGCCGACGTGAGGTATGAATTAGGGAGAACGCGGAGCTCTACGCCTAACGGGACTCGTCTGTACACACACATTGCAGCGAATCGGAGCTCCGGGAGCTAGCTCGTGCAAACCGAGAGAGGGATTTCGTCTGACTCCGCCAATTATTTCGTCTCCGAATCCGGTCCCATCCCATGAGAATCTGACCGAGGGTAATCTATTGGATTTCGACGATTATTGAATTCCTACACACCCAGAATACATGGTCATCTCGGTAGGCGCGTAAGAATCCACAAGACCGGCGGCGGAGTTCGTCGTCGGAGGGCAAAAGTTCTAGAGAGCACGAATCTCCGTAGAGTACTAAGGAGGCTTTGACGTGCGACATCGAGGCGATAACGAAGAGGCGGCCAGACTTGTCGGGACGCTTGCTTGTTACTCTCGGAAGGCGGGCATCTCCGGCGGTCTAACGTGATTATGCCGCGGCTCAGCAGCGGCCGTCGCCACCGCCGCCGTCGACTGCACATCTAATAAGTGTCGACTACCAATCCTTATTTATTCGTTGGACGATACGGACCTATCCGACTCGAGTCCCTTAGCTCGCCGGGTAGTATTCTGCCAACAGCGCTCCTCGACTTGTTGCAACAACAGTTCCGTCCACGGCGACACGACTAAATACATAGCGGTTGCTTGAATTCTCGTCAACGGTCGTCGGTGTACGATTTTACGAGGAATATGTTCGCCTCTATTTCGGAAACAGGTCGCGGCGGTCTTTCGTCAATACACTCGGGATGCGATGCAAATTCTCTCGACCTGCGGCGAGCAAACAAACTCGAGCCGTAAACTGCGATGGAGCGCGCGCGGGACAAACCCAACAACCTCGACCACTATCGCCACGAGTCGTGGTCGGTCGACGAACGAAAAAGCGACCGACCGACCGACGCCAGCTGTGAAACGGGGCTTATGCTGCGTATATCTGTCTGTCGAGGGGAACACAAGCCGCTCTCTCGTCGGTTCTTCGGCGACCGCTCGTCGGCCGACCGGCCGGCCCCGTTGCTGTGTCCGGCCGACACCTCGAAACCGCGTCGGTGACTACCCGCCATCACCACCCCCACCACCACCGACCGCGTACAACGTATTGACTATAAATAGCGACTCATTCTCTCTGCTCAAGTCGAGCGAACCTTGTAAACATCGCTCCGAAGAGTGAAGTCGACTCACGACGGCTCCACGAGGCCCACGACCTCATCATCGAGGTCCTCCTGTGCGTGGAACATACCCACATGGACTCTTTCAAAGTTTGCCTCGTGGGATTCGAGAGCACGCGGTCATCTAGCCGTACGCGTGTCTGGGAGACGGATGAGCGAACGAGCTATTGGCCGGTCGGCGTAGCGGTCGTACGATCGTCGTAGCGGTTGCTCGATCGTCGTCTCGCCGCCGCAACGAAATATCAGGATAGGGGAGATGCAAAAAAAAGTCTCGGCTCCTATTCGCGTGCAAACGACACTGGAATTAAGTTGCACCATTATTTAATATGAAACGAGTCAATAAAGCCGCCGGGGGGCGGCGACACGATGCCGCGACCCTTGGCGAGGGAGTCTGCACGGAGTCGGGCGGACAGAGCTCCGCCATGAAGGAGTTGCGGGGGGACCGACAGCGAGCAGGCAGTCGGGCCGGCAGGGCGGCAGACAGGCAGGCAGGACTCAGGGACCAAAGCGGGAGGGGGGTCTTATTTATTAGCAAGTATATGGAAGCCCAGGCAAGTTGCCGAGCGGGCAGGCTTGCTTACTCGATGGCAAGCTGCGCGGTTTGCCTTTGGCGAAACTAACTTCCAATAGCGTCCTCGTGGCAATTAACCAGCCAAGCATCCAGCCCAGCCGATCCTCTAACCCATCCTACAATTAACCAAGCAGCCGAGTGGTAGGCCGGCCGACGAGCAAGCGTTGTGCTAACCGTCTACGCAACACTCCGTTCATCCACAGATCCCTTCCCCGCTCGGAATTTCAAAGGACTTGCGCGAGATATTCCTCCTAATCAGGTCTGACAGCCGGTCCATCAGGCGCTCCCTCGGACCTTCAGGAATCTTCGAGGCACTTGATCTGTGTGAACGATGAGAGGATGACGGCTGAAAACAAGGCAAGGAATAACGTCGTCTCTAGCTAGTCGTCTCCTTGTCCGCCTGGGTGGGCAAAGCAGGCGGGCGCTGGGTGAATGTTTGGTCGCTCGAATGGTCGTTGACAAGCAATCAGTAGGCAGACCCCCGCTGCTCTTGTGTCGGCTGGGAACGGGGCCCCACGCAGAAACCCACGCGGAACAGAGAGCGTGCGAACGGCGCGTGTGTGTGCATGCTTGCACATCCCACCCTTACGCTGCAGCGGTGCCGGTAGCTCCTTAGGCGCTGAGCGGAGAGGCTACGTATCAGTGAACGTATCAGCGGCAAGTCAGTCGAGCAGAATTTCAATCAGGATTCCTTGGTCACGCGGACCAACAAATTAGCCCGCAAACCCATCTACCGGCATCATCCTTCCAGGTGAGAGATCTGTACATCGGCTCGGTCGATCCTCCATTCGCTTCTCCGATTCAGCTCTGCTGGATGAGCTCGCCTCAGTCAGTTACTATGATAACTAGCTCCCGCTGAAGACCGGGCTCTCGGGCAGCGGCGCAAAACCAACGGTTGTTCTGGTGAATAATTGATACACTTAGGGTCTATCAGACAGGATAATCATACTTTCTCGGTCGAATGGGGATCGTATTTCACCTTTCTCGAATGGGCAGCGAAGCCTACACAAAAAATCGAAGGTGGACTGGGCTCTGAGTTGCGCTTTCGACCTTTTTCCTCCGGCGTATCCAGAATCGAGACTTCGCGATTTTCCGTTGCACTTGTCTCCAGGGGTACTCCAATCGAGGAGAGAGGGAAAATCGTGGACCGCCGGTATCCAAAGAAGCTCTACGATCCCCGGAGCCGTACGAAATCATCTCACCGAAAGTATTCGGAGCCTGACGCTCATCGCAGCCCGAAACGTTGAACTCGTTCCGTTCTCCACCCTCGACGAGATGGAAATAAGGAAACAGTCGAACACCTGCTGAGAGATACGATTCATTTCCCCGGGAGCCTTCTCCGCTAGCGTAGCTGGCGTCGGAGCGTTCCGCACAGAGAAGGCGAAAATTGCTCAGAATTGATTTTCTGATAGGAGGGCTTCCTTTTTTCCGCGTGTGTGTTCATTGAGCGACGACGAGACGAAACCGACAACCGCGGAACAGGAACGACGAACGGGAAGACCTGGAAAGCAGATAAGCGAGAAGGGAGAGGAACGAAATTCGCTCCGAAAAAGCAACCCCATTCCCGGAGAAGACGCTCGGTATCTACGGAAGGGAGCCAGAGGAAATAATCGCTACATCCCTCCTCACACCTCGAACTCGGTCGAACGATCCGATGCTCCGATCACTGCAGACGGCAGGGCTGAACTTCGCTGTCGATTGTTCGACGATGACGTTTCTGAAGATAGCGAGCCCCGTGTCTCGCGCGACTCGTTCCTGAACTGCACTCCGAATCTGCGACACGTAATGCAGTGCCGATGAGTTTCCCGAATTCACCTAAAGTGGAGCAAATCACATCCGAAGAACATATTGAGCTCGTTGTTCAATCGTTGTCGTGGCTTTCTTCTCCTCCGGGTCTCCTAGCAGCTGTGTTCCGCTGTCTCGCACCGTGTGCACCCTTCCCTCGGAAAAAATCGGATGTCCTTCGATGCCTTCGTGGATGATTATTATCAGGAGATTCTTTGCGAGCAGCGTTGCTCCGAAGCGTTGAATATCTTCGGGACACTGGACACACGGCAATTTCTCATTCTGGCCCGAGTGGTCATCGCAAAGGATCTCGCGGACGACCTCTTCGAGGAAACAGTGACTTCCCAGGCAGAGAAGTGTGGAGCCCCGGACCCTGCCCGGGACCCCCCGATCGTCTCTACTTACTATTCCTCCTGCGCTTCTCCTCCTCACTCGTCGAACTCCGTTGCTGAACTTTTCCAGCTCCACGGTATCGAGAGAGAATTTTGTGATGCTGGGATGTTCTTCCGAGAACAGAGCGATTATCGATAGCGGAATCCCCTTCTGTAGCGAGCTTCGGACTGGGTAAGCGACACCGACCGAGAGGCAATGCTTCCGTACAATCGGTCGCTGCTTTCCACAGGGAGATCGCTGGGGACAGCCTGGTCTCTCGAGTGATGCAGCATGCTCGAGGCAATCGAGTCCATTCAGCTTCCATGCGAATGCTCGTGATCGTTTCAGGTCCTGAAGGCGCAAGAGAGAAAGGGATGATTCTTATCGCCTGTTTCCTCATCAATCACTGATAGCAGCTTGTGGGAGTCAGACAGCTTCCATGATCTCCCAGGGAGATTTTTCACCGCCCTTGTGCCCTTGGACCAAAATCAAATTCTCTCATTCAAGGGCCCTCTCCCCTAGAATCGATTTCAACAAGTACCGAAACGCTCGATTGATGAGGATCGCTCGTGCAACGGTATGCGTCGGTCGCCGAGGAGCTCATCCCGAGCGGAATGCGTTCATTCGACGTGTTTACTAAACCCGGTCCACAACACGTGCCGCTCTCATCTCTCCCCGTCGCAAGTCGTTGTTCTACTTATCTGCAGCGATGATCGAGAACACAGTCGATGTAATGCTCGATTTGTCGAATGTTCTATTGGGTAGCTCCTGTGAGTGATTCTCGGGAAGTGTCGCCGTATCCTCGAAGACATCGTGAGCTTCGTCTTGAAGTGCGATACTGCCCGCCCGTGAAGGGCTCCGCAATAGCAGAAAATGGAGGTCTGTACGATGAACGATGTGAAAATTTACAATCTAGCGGCGGGCAAGAGCCTCCCGGATTGGTTGTCGGACCGGAAGAAAAGAGCTCTGGTCCGGAAAGACTCCAAGGTCCGTCATCGTATCGAGCTTATCCAAGAGTTCGAAATGCCCACGGTGACGACCCACTTGCGCGTAACTCCGGACCAGCAACACATACTCGCCTGCGGCGTGTATAAACCTCGAATACGATGTTATGAAGTTTCGCAGTTGAGCATGAAGTTCGAGCGGTGTCTGGATTATGAAGTCGTGTCGATGGCTTGTCTCGCGGACGACTACTCGAAAATGGTTTTCCTGAGCACGGACCGCTACGTCGAGTTCCATGCGCGGTACGGCAGATACCACCGAATCAGAATTCCTCGGAGTGGAAGGGACATGAAGTATATGCAATGCTCGGCCGAGCTTTTGTTCGCCGGCGATGGGCCGGACGTCTATCGGCTGAACCTGGAGCAGGGGCAATTCCTGAAATCATTCGAGTCGCAAGCAGTATCAGTGAACTGTGTACAATTCAACGAGGACCATAACCTGATCCTGATGGGCACGTCCGATGGGACGGTCGAGGCCTGGGATCCGAGATGTCAGGCTAGAGTTGCGAGCCTACCGGCGACACTCGAAGCTTTCTCAGAAGAGATGAAAGCGATTCCCGGAGTATCTGTGATTGCTTTCAAGGATCCCCTCTCTTTCGGCGTTGGCACAACGTCGGGACACGTCCTGCTGTTCGACATACGCGCAGACAAGCCGTATCTGTGTAAAGACCACATGTACTCGATGCCGATCAAAACCCTGGATTTCCACCACGACAACCGAGTCATTTCGGCTGATTCGAAAGCTATAAAAATTTACGGCGAAGACGGGAAAATGTTCACGAGCATCACGACAGCCCACGACATCAACGATGTATGCGTTTTCGGGAAATCTGGACTTATTCTGGTCGCTACCGAATCGCCAAAAATTCAACCTTTTTACATCCCAGCTCTGGGAACAGCTCCGCGGTGGTGCAGCTTCTTGGACAACATCACCGAAGAACTCGAAGAAACGAACCAGGACACGGTTTACGACGATTACAAATTCGTCACAATCAAAGAAGTCGAAGAACTCAATCTGACCAATCTCGTCGGGACGAATATGCTCCGAGCGTACATGCACGGATACTTCATCGACGTCCGACTCTATCACAAAGCGAAGCAACTCAGCCAGCCCTTCGCCTACGAGGAGTATAAGAAGAAGAAGATCAAGGAGAGGTTGAACGCCATGAGGGCAGACAGAGTTCCCGATAAGACGAAGGTGCACCTACCCAAAGTCAACGCTCGGGTTGCGCAACGCCTCATTGAGAGGGAGCAAGAACTGTTGGAGAACGCCGCCAAGGAGAACCGAAGGAAACTGAAGAAATTCGTGAACCCGATGAAAGACTCGAGGTTCTCGGAAATGTTCGAGAATCCTGACTTCGAGGTTGAGGAAGATACCGAGGACTTCAACCGGTTACGCAGCGTCATTGCGACGTTACAGAAGCCGAAAAAGGATTCTTCCGAGAGGGCTGTGGAGGTCGACGCATTCAATCCCGATGACAATGATGGAGGCATCGCGGACAATGACTCCGTCAAGTCAGACATGTCGGCTCTCGACAGCCTCAGTGAAGGTTCCTCCGATGAGGAACTCGACCGTGGGAAGAAAACTCCGAAAGATCCGACGGCTGGTTTCACTCAAAAGTCCGGGAGCGATATCCTTAGAGGTTTCAGGCCCACAACGAAGAAGGTCAGAACTTCGAAGGTCTCTTTGGGTGAACGACTCAAGTCTCGGAGCGGGCTCGTCGAAATGAGTCGAGGCTTCACATCAGGCAATCGCATGATCACCTACGAGAGCAAAAAAGGAAAGAAAGGCAAATCTGATGCTGATCACATGAACGAACGAAGGAAGGTCCGCAGGTCCGCCAAAGGATTGAATATGAAAAAATGTAAATAAAAAAATTATAGGAAATATTGAAACAACGAGTTTTCGATCTCGCCATTGGAATCCATCGCACGATCATTATGGAAGAGCGGAAGTAGGAAATGAATCGTCCCCGTAACATAAGTTCTTTATCGCAGAAGTTTTTAACTGTCACAGCTTCCGATTGAGCCGCATATTTTCCACGAAAGGGGCCCGAGGGTGCTGAGTCTGGGCGATTCACTTGAGCGCTTCGCTGTGCATTCGGATGTGTTCTTCGATGAAGGTCGCGATGAAATAGTAGCTGTGGTCGTATCCCTCATGTTTCCTCAAGTTGACCTTGACTTTGTCGTTAGTCACTCTGTGTAGATTGTCCGGGAGCAAATCGTTCAGGAACTCGTCGTTGAGCCCAACGTCGATCAACGCGGAAATCGGTGGTCCCGCATAGGTTTTCGCGAGGTCCGTCGCGTCATACTCGCTCCATGCTTTCCGGTCGGCACCTTTTGAAAACAAAAAGAAAAATGAGTCACGTTCTTTGAGCTCGTAATGAAGCAGGGGGCGGAGAGTTTTCTTCGGGTCCGAGAATATCTCCAGGAAGCCGCGATTTGGCGGTGATTAAGGACTGTCTTTGGTATCGATCGACAACGTCGACCTGGGAGTTCTCACCCAAGTAAGCAGTGAACGCTTTCTGCCCCCAGCCGCACTCGGTCGGGTTGCAGAGGGGAGCGAAAGCACTGACGGCCCTGTATTTGCCAGGGTTTTTCAGAGAGCAAATCAAGGCGCCGTGTCCTCCCATGGAGTGTCCCATGATGCTGCAACGGCTCGTGTCGACGACTTCCGAGAAATTCGCTTCGATGACCTGAAACCCCGAAGCCTTTTCAGTCATCGGATCAGATTTTGTTCTCGCAGCTGCTTCGACGAATAGGATGCTACCAGGTATTCGAAATGCCTGTGGGCTGCCACACCTGTGGGAGTTCTTTCGTCACGTAGGAATACATTTTGTAGTTTTTAGCCCATGGCTCCTGGGTGGCATCCACGTAGAAACCGGCGCCGGTTCCTAGGTCGTAGCTGTCGTCTTCGCCGGGAACATTGCAATTCCCTGGTGAGAGGATAGTGAAGACTTAAGCCTACATATGTCCCAGCGGGATTGTAGCTCTGGAACTGTTGGCCTTTCGATATGGAAGGTCTCTGGCAGGATTTATCTCATGCTCACGGGGGCTTGTGTCGGGACAGACGATGGCGACTCCATACTTCTGAGCGTGGGCCTGGGCTCCGGATTTCGTGATGAAGTTCTGCTCGGTACACGTCAGACCGGAAAGCCAATAGATGAGAGGTACCTAGGGACGGAATTGCGTAGACACAGCCTGCGGTTAATGTCGTGATAGGGGTTCCGTCGATCGGCAGACGCGGGGGAAATTCAATAAGCATCGTGAGAGTTCGGGCAACCAAGACGCCGACGCCAACGCTTTATTTGGTGAACCGCTCTCAACTGGAGAAGGCCCGGAAGAAGACTTTTGAGTACCATCGAAGAGCTTTGAGGCGAGCGGATGCCTCGAAGAAGGAGTTATGACTACTAACCTTGCCGTCGCATTTTGGGAGGAATATAGCGAATTTCGCCTCTGAGCCCAGGGTAGAAGAGGCATGCTTGAAAACTTTCTGGAAGCCGCCGAAGATTTTGTTGCTGGACACGAGCGTCGCTGCCATGTTGTACCGATCTGGGAGTTCACGAGTTCAATCACGGTTCCTCCCGAGGGCTGTGAGCTAGAATACAGCACGAATTTCGAGGTTGTGTCCGAGTTATCAGGAGCCTTCCGAGATCGAGGCCGATGCAGTCGCTATTAGGCCTCCGCCAGAACAGTTCAAAGAGGGTTTCCACTTGACCGGTTCGTTAAGAATCCTACGGAGGATCGTCACACGGACCTTTAGAAACTGTCTCACCGGATAGTACGCCTCGGCGGAGAAGAAATGTCACCGAAGACAGAATTCGCCGGTCGCGCTATCAGCTGATCGTGCGGATGAACGCATTAAAGCCCGCGAACATGGCGCGGTGGTCAGCGCCGCAGCTGTTCTCGAAATGATGTTAGAATCGATCCTTAAACGGCCATCGTATCCGTCTGACCGCCGATCTTCCGTGAATCTCAGTGCCTCAAGTGAATTATATGGACAGGGGGTTTTCGAGTGAATGATCCTCGTGCATCAGAGCTTTCTGCATTCTACAGGAGTTTCATCATGATGACGTGCATATGAAGATACATATCTTCAGGAGTCAGGAGCAGCTATGATCAATTAGGATCAATATGTGCGTGAGCCACGGAGCGTCGGAACGCCATACTGTTCTCTCGCGTCGGCTTCGAGGGAAATCGAATTCCTAGTCCGGAGGTGAGACGATCGCTTGATCAATAAACAGGCAAGATTTTCCACAGGGCAAAGCGGTCGAATACGGTCACTCTGCCAGATAAAATCTTCTGGAGGAAAGATATCAATTCGGACGAGGATGCTATTTTCTGAGATACAGGAAACTGCTCGTAGCCGTGGAGATGGCTTCCGGAAAGAACGTCATGAAAATAATGGATCATACCTTTGGAATGAGACTCATACAACGTATACTTGCGAGGAAACGTGAAAGTTTCTTCAGAGCCAATTTGGAGCCTGCGCGAATGGCGGGCGATCATCCTTAGTGTCCTCCACGAGACCCGATTACATACACGATCTTCGATTCTCTCGGTCCGAGTCACTCCTTCCGGAAGGAGGATGAATAAAAGATCGGTTGGATACGAAGTCCCGAGCGAATCGCTCTCGGAATTTGATGCCAAGAATATGTGCACATAAGCCGACTCCAATTTCAAAGAATCGAGGGAAAGATAATCCTGGACATTTTTATGGGTGCATTGAGGCGGGCAGGGGCGCAAAGACAGCTCTGACTTATGCTATTCGAGTTGCGAACAACCGCGAGCCTGACCGCTCTCCAAAGCACCGGGGTCGAATCCCCATGATCGATTCACCTTCAGCGCACTAGCATCGAACGACCACCGAGCGACCGACCTGTACCTCGAAATCGCAGATTTCCTCAATTTCCTTATTTACCGAAATTATCGCCATTCTTTCCTGTCAATTTCCCGGCTTGATCTCCGCACAGCAACCCCTTCGAATACTCTACAGTTGTGATGTTTCCTCTGCATCTTCGGTGATGCCGTCTACGCCTCTGGCTTTCGATTCAATTGCTCATATTTAAGAACAAGCACAATGAGCCGGAAAACGGATCGACTGGCCGGGGCTCGATACCCGCCGACCTCTCGTGGGATCCTGGGTCCTGGGCTCAGGGCGAAGCCATCGGACGAAAAAAGGACAGGACGCCCCATCTGTGATTCGATACGGCGGAAGGTGCCGGTAATGGCGTCGTCCGGTCGGATCTCAAGCGAAGGTCCAAAGGGTTCGATAAGGATCTTCCGACTGAGATATCTCATATGCTTAATTTCGAGTGCTCAGCGACATCCCGGTATCCAGGATCCGGGATAATTGTTCGGCGTTCTCTCGGAGTCAAGGTGATGACTGCGGCTACATCAACATGATCACACCGTCGGAAAAAAACCGGCAGGTGGCACGAGACAATCCTGGGCTCTGCGATGCCTCACTCAAGTCGTTCGGCGTCTCTCTCAGTCTCTCGGCGACGGACGCTCTAGGGATGTGGGGGCTGAAGGGGAAAACCGTGAAATCAAATTGGAAGAGCGAATGAATCAGGCAGAGACCAGCGGAGAAGACTCGTCATCGTCTGGCCCTCGACTCTTATGAATAAGGCACAAACTATCAAAAACAAATAGGTATCATTCGAAATATTGATGGAGAGGGTCCGGGTTCCCACCGGCCGCCGCGGCCTCGGATCAGTGCGCTTGAGAGTTAGATACGGATAGGGACAGAGACGACGGCAGACGGAAGGGGGAGCACCTGTCGCACCGGGAATCGAGATCCGTGTTTCGTCATCCCACAGCGAATGAGGAGGATGCCGAGGATTTTCCGCTCGACTGCTCCAATCATTATCAGAGACCGTAGGGGGGGGGAAGTCATAGGCGGAAGGGGAAGCACCCGACTAAACTCGGATGCTTCCCCTGTTTTGCTTTCAATTCATCGCAAATCTTCGCACGACACGGGTGGCGTGGAGCCCATCGACGATAGGGATCGGGAGCGGACACCGACGACAAACGATTCCTGGCGTGCTCGTTCCTTGCTGACCCGCGTGCTGAAGAACTCAGCTGCTCCGGACGAGATATTTGGGCGCCGAGTGAGTCTTGACGGAATCTTTCAAGTTTATAGCTTGCCCCGCTCTGTCGGTCGTGTCATCCTTTCGATGATTCATGAACTGTGAAAGGTGCTCGACGCAAAACACAAGATCCGTGTATTTGCTTCCCGTACGGTGCAAGTGACGGCCTGCGATCGTTTTCTGTCCGCTGGAGGAAAGTTTTCTAAGGTCAAGCCGGGAAGGGGAATTTTTCTGTTGCTCTTCGAGTTCAATGAACCCTTGTAACCGGAATCATTTCTGTTTTCTGTCTGGAGACCTACTGCGGTGGCGGAGCTCGATAAGTAGAGAGGGGAGCTGGATAAGTAGAGAGGGGAAATCGCATGTTCAGTCGTTCCAAAGATGAATCTTCATTTTAGTCGAGCAAACGCCGCGGTTCCGGCGGGAGCACAGACGAGGTGGTCCGCTTAGCGCCGATTGTCTGAAGCTCGCTTTTCCTGCCCACCGCCGGTCAAGTTAGAGGCATCGTAAGAGTTCGCACAGCGATTGGCATTCATGGTGTTGAGAGTTCTGTGATTTCGGGGAGAAGTCGATGAGGAGTTCCAGTGTTATGATCAGTCTATGAGACGCTCATTCGGGCTACGATTAGTCATTCTGTAGGAGATGACAGACCCGGTCGTCTTATCAGACTTCTTGGTTGACACGACAACGTTCACCATCGACCATGAATCAGAAGAAACTCAGGATGCTGTGAGAAAACTCCGGAATAAGTGAGTCTCGATTTATCGCTCCGCCTGAATGCATCTCGGCCGTGATCGTTCGTTTCCAAGGAGCGACGCATTGAACGCTGGATTCATTCCGAAACAGGATGGAGGGCATCATGGAAGGATCTGAAGCTGTCGTTCCGGACAGGGAGCTGGTGAAAACTCTCCGCTACAAGAAATTCGATGTTGACAAGGCCTTCCGGATGGCCGCAATGACGTGCCGCAACGCACTCGCGCAGAATTTAGCGCACATGCCTTTCGGAAAAGGGCCGAAAGACTTTGGATATGTTTACGCCCTCCGTAGCTTCGAGCTTCTCAGACATCGTAATCCGAAGGATGGATCAGCTGTGGTAGTTCTCCGGTAGGTTTCCCTCTCACCGCTCCCGAGTCTTGGTCCCGATTCCGAGGAGCTCGACCGTTTCGATCGGACGCAGATCATCGGCGTTCGTGGGGAGGCGAGAACGATGCTCCATCAGGGCTTTCGAACATCATGTCAGCCTAAAACTCGCAGCTGTGAGCACTCGAGGGCTCAGTATCTGCCGATGGACGAGGCTTCGAAATCTGAAATCACTTCCGATGTGATGATCATGAATTTCCACACAGCGCAGGCGACTGGACCCCCGACAGCGGGGTGAATTACACTCAAGTGCTGCAGGGCTCAACCTACATCGTCGACCACATGCTCGAGGATGATGAGATACAGAAAAATGGAGCGCGAGTCATTCTGGACTACAAAGGACTCCATCTGAGCTGGATACTACAGTTCCTTCCCCCTCATAAAATACCAGTGAGCTCGGAGAGGAAACTATGAACTCGCTATAGAATCTCAAGTTCCCGCGTCTGCTGAATAATTGATGCAATACGGGGCGACCAGCTGTCAAGTTGGCGATAATCTAGGCCGTTCCTTGCAGTCGGTATTGTCGAATCTACAGGGGGGCTGTCCCCTGAAAATCAGAGCCATACACATAGTGAATCAACCAGTGACTTATAACGTGGCTTTCGCCCTGGCAGCGCCCTTCCTCAGCAAGAAGGTAGGTATACCGGAATTCCGCGATTTTCTTTCTGCCGCCGTGATTGACGCAAAGTACTCCTGCGAACGATTCGAATCGAGTGAGGTCAAAAGACTTTACCTTTCAGAACGAGGCGAAAATTCAACTCCATGGATCTCAGATAGAAGCTCTGCACGAGTACATTGACCGCTCTATCCTCCCAAAGGATCTTCTCGGCGAGCAAGAGCCGCATTGCGAATGGTTCTTCCAATCGCTCAACAGTCGACATGATGAGTACGTCGCTCGGAGCGAGCTCGCGAGGAAGGCGAATCGAGCTGCCGGCAATGAGGTTTGAAACAGAGCAATGAGTAGTTCCCCAAAAACTGTACATGATTTACCCGGATGTTTGTTCTGGACAGTGATGTTTAGCATGTATATTTGAGGAAGGATTTAAGCCAAATAAATGAGGCAAGCAGAAGAATTCCCGAAGCCTTGATGCGTTATCCCTCGGGTTGAGCGAGTCCTGAAATGTCATGGCTGTTCTCTGCCTGCTCGTATCTCCTCTATGAGCTGAGCGCGATCCGGAATATCGGGTTGATCATTCCGGTGTTCGTCTCGCTACTTCGCTCAGGACTCGAATAGACAGTGGAGGCTCGCCGTGGGCCACCAGCGGACGGGAGGATACGGTGATTCGAAAAGCCGCGCCATAGATTGCAGCCCTTTCTGCCGTACTCGCCTAAAAGAGAAAAGAGCTGGCGCGATCACGCTTCGAAGTTCCTTTCGCTCTCATCGGCGACGGCACGTGGCCGGCGCTCCGGCTCGACCGCGTGCGGTACCAAAGGTTAGTTTCCTCGATTATTACAGGCGATCCGCTACTCGGAAATCGAGTGACGCCCTTGTCGACACACTTACCAGCCCCTCTGATGAAATGAACTACCGCCGTTAACCTTTCTCGTCTTACAACACACACGTGTACCTGGAGACGCATAGTTACACTGATTGCGAGGCGGTGCGTTTCGGATAGGAATATCGAGGTCAGGGATTTTCCGCTGACAATTCTTGATGTTTCACAGGGATCGAAGCTCCTGGGTCTGTATGATGTTTGGATTTGAAGACTGTGGGAGCAAATCACCATGAGGTGGGGAAATACTAGCTGTATGGGACGCGTTTCTCTAAATAAACAATTCTTTCAAGGCGAGGATTTTCGCGTGTTTTCCTTTGGGTAAGCTTCGACATTCATGCTAGGCTTCGGAGTACCTCTGTCTGACGTGGACTTGGCACCAAGTTATCCTAGCGAAAAAATTGGAGAGGCTTTCAAGAGAGCCGCTAATCAATGGAAGCTCTCGACTCACACTCTCCAACATCTCTCTCTCGTGCATTCTACACAGACGAATTGTCTTGAACTCCTACGAACCCCGGGATCGTAACAATTGCGCTGCCCGATTCTACTCTTTGGAGGACAGAGAACACACCGGGAACTCAGCCATGACCGTACGTCCAACTGATGCTTGGTCGGGCTCTCGATGTAACACCTTGAATAGGAAGCAACTACCATGAATAGAACCATCGAGAAGTTATAGAGATCAATCCGCGGGTTTGGGGTCACCCGAGAAATGATCTCGCGAGATATTCGAGACTTCCAGAAATGATATCCACTGAACTCCTACGAACCCCGGGATCATAACAATTATTATGTTGCCCGATTCTACCCTTTGGAGGACAAGAATCACTCCGAGAACTCAGGCATGGCCGGACATCTATCAGATGCCCGGTCGGGTTCTCGGTGTGACACGAATGAATAGATCATATTGTCCGCGCTGTTAGGGTCCGCTCGGACGCGGAGCCCTGATCGATTGAACTCGCTCCTTAGTACACTGACTGGGACCAGGGAAGAGACCAAAATCTAAACCTGGGAGACTGAATCCTCCGTCCGGCGCCTTCTGAGCACGAACGGAACTTCGTGATTTACGTGAAGACTGCTCTTTCCACTCGGTGACACGTAAATGAGCCTTCCCTAGCAGCTACGGTCAAACGGATAACGGATGAGTCTCTCTCTTGTTAGATATAATCTCAACTTGGACAATCGCATTTATTTAACCGACTCCTCCTCGAGTGTGTACAACGGCTCTTTCATGAGGAGGCTTGTCTGCGAGGTCATCGATCGATGGAACATAATGTAGTTTCTCAGCCGAGTTGACCCGTGGGTAAAGTTTGATGGTGCTGCAGCTGAGGTTGAACCTCCTCGACAGGTATCGGCGGAGCCGATGGAAACATGAGCATTTGTTGATGGCTCGCGTGAGCTTGCTGAGGCGCCAGACCGGTTTGAGGTAGAAGGCCGTGCTCTTCCATGTATCTCTGCACTGAAGTTTCCACTTGGTAGAGCGGCTGCGGGTCGAAGCCGTTGAGGTCGTGGAATCTCCGTAGGACCTGATCGAGAATTGTTGATTGTTACATACGAATGAAATCAGCCGCAAAATTCAAAGCGAATGCCTCAGGGAAGAGATTTCCACCAACCTCGAGAGCGCTATGGACTTCCTGTTTGGACGGTGGCACCAATTTGCTTCCAGTGAACTGATCGTCGATATACGATTCGTTCACCGGGAGACTCGAATCCTGTTCCAACTCCATCTTCTTTTCGAGTTGTTCCACCAGTTTGAGATCTTCTGTGTTGAAATCGAAGGGGAGTTTTCCCACGTCGGGCAAGATGTCAGTCTCCGCCACGAGATTCACGCCGAGAACGGTCTTTACCAAGGATTCGAGCGTTCGCGAGACATCGGTGGCCGTCAGTTGTCCCCAAGCGAGTTTCACGAAATGCATGCACCGCAGTAATGAGATCTGTGGAATCAGGCCAAAAGTGTCGTCTCCTCATCCGCGATCGAATTTAGGCGACGACAGGGAATCGCTTCTGATTTTTGATATATGAGCCAGGGAGTCTACGAAAATATTCGACTGTTAATCCTACCGTGCTAGCGGCTTTGATCCTCTGGAGCGAATGGTCGCACATCACCGCTAGTTCTCGAACGAGCTGCTCTCTGTAGAACAGCTTGAACTTGGATATCAATTTTTCCAGAGGTCGGATGTGGTACGGAAGATACACAAGACGAACATTCTTGAGGACTAGCTGCGGGACTCGGTGGGCCTGGACGAAGAAAAGGTTCTGGTGGTTCCTATTCCGTCGACTGGGACAATGGCTACTCAGGGGACCGGATAAGAAGAGCGCTCTGTATCGAGACTCGGGGACGCTCCCGAATTCCTCGCCAAGTACTCACTGGAATGTCATCTGCGACGAGCGCAATCTTCTTGTTGCTTTTGCCGCATTCGGCGTCGATCTGCTGAAGCCATCCATGGAAGATGTTGGACGTCATCGTCGCTCTTGGCGAGTTAGTGTATAGAACGGGATACTTTTTCACACCCTTGAGGCAGGCGGGTTCTGAGGTTCGTCCTATCAGGACCGGTGGCATTAATGACGTGCCACTCCGATTGGCACAGAATAGTATGGACACTCTCTCTTGAGGATCGACGTATAGCTGTCCTTCTTTGCTCGGTACAGTTCGGTAGAGCAGAGTAGCTTCGTCCATGCAGAAAATGTTATCTGCAAGAAAGGGGGGCGAAAAGGGGCTCTCAACGAGTCGTCTTGATTCTCTGGCTATATACTCGTCCCATTCACCAATCAACTCACTTGTCGAGTAGTTCCCAAGAACCTCTCGAAACTCTAGCAAAGCGGCGCCGCCCGTGCTCGTGCCCTCTTGCACGTGGATCTCGACCGCGCTCGAGACGTGGCTTTTCACGATCGCATTGTTACGGAGCTGCCATCGATAGTACCATCCCTTGGAAGCCTTCCAGTCGGTGAGGCCCAATTCTTTGGCTATCTGATTTGCTTTCGTTTTGATCATGACTCCTGTGGACGATAGGGAAGCACGACGATGTTCGACTCGTAGTCTCGATGTAAAAATGAATGAATATAATATTTGTGAGATGGTAGAAAGCCTTCGACTCTAATGCGCCCACCGTTTAGCGCAGTACCGGCGGTCACTTCACTCTGATACCACTTGAGCAAGGCCTCCTCGAGCTCCTTCTGAGGTCCCATCCTCGCTCTCTTCCGCTCGAGGTTTCCATTATTGATGAATTGACACAAAATCCGCTCCTGATTAGATTTGATCCGCGATATTTGACTCTGACTAACGCAGAACTCCTGAGCTAGCTGGAATTGCTTCGCGCCAGCCATCAGCTTCGTCAACACCTCCACCTGGACCTTGAGGGGGAGATCTTTTCTCTGTTTGCATGTTGATTTCGTTTCCACGTGCCGGCTAGACGGACCTGGCAATATCTCTTCCTCGTCCGACATCTGCAGTCCGATGTCACGCTCTCAAGTCGATGGCAGAGCGACTCAGTCGTCACGAGTGAAGAAGGCTGGAATTGGAAGACATCTCCATAATTTTCGGAGTCATTCGCTCGGAGGTTCTAGGATCGGTCGCACCAGAGATTTCATCAGCAATGTATTTAGTTTGGAGGGGGAACCTGCACGCTGTACCATACGTTATAGCTAATCACTGCTCTCTGGTTTGAAGCGATCGGGACCCATCCAGATCATGAATCATGACCGGCCCCGATGGTATGAATATTCTGAGATCAATCCATCTAGACCCCGGATTCTACACCCTAGATTCTAGGGAATGAGTGGCGTTTACGTCGATTCGCCGAAGAGTTCCCAGTTCTTCTCTCGACCCTTTTTCGATTGACATGGGATGTTCCATCGAAGTCATCAAGAGCTCCCTCCACGCGAGGAACAAACTGCTTTCGTCACCCTCGTCATTGATCGACGGATGACCTTACCCCTTCCTGAGAATCTATGGCATGGAATACTCTCGAGGTCCCGCTCGCAATGACCTTGAGATCTTTGGGACGGGAACAATCTGTCGGAGCTTCTGCGATACCGTCGGAACGTCGCACACCTCGACAAAACCTGATCTGATCATTCTGAATCTTCGAAAAGATGAAGATTCTACGACGTCCTATAGTCTCTCGATCGCAGCCTCATAGGAGGCGCCGGAGACTCAAGTCCGAATTGGTTCGTGTCCGAATGCAGATGCTCCCTCAGCAATGAGCGTAGGGTTCTTCCTCGAGGCCCGACGCAAAAGTGAGGACGACATCAGATTCTACAATGTCTGCGATTTTGTTTTCAACATGTCTCCGACCCGAGTCAACCGATTCTGCCTAGAGCCAGGAGATACGTCGGTTACCGACTCCCGCCGTGACTCTCCACGGCCTCGGAATCGAATCATCCATTCAATGGCCAACCCCCAGCGATACGGACGAATGGGTATTGCTTGGTCTCCTAGTTCCTACCGGAACTAGATCTTTCCACCGAAATCCGTCGAACATATGGCGATCGGAATTTATATTCGCCGCGAACTGAGTCGATTCGCTTTAGCTTACAGGTTGTAGAAGTGGAGAGGTTTCCCCATTTAGATGCGTTTAACAGGGTAGAGACGACCCGAATATCCATCGCACTAAACATCGCCTGCTTTCCCGTTCTCCCCTTCTTAACAACTCTGGATTCTCTCGCGTCCGTCACAATCAGCAATAATGGAAAGACCCTGTTACTCACAGCTTCATGGGAATCTTCTGTGAAATTCGGAACTCCAGGAGTCGAATGCTTTTTCGAGCGAACATCTCCAGCAGAACAACTGGACCAAATCCTCATGATGCGCGCTCCTTCGCCCGCTAGTCTCATCTGCGTGTTGACAATCAGCGAGAGTTCTCTCAAAATATCGCGAGAACAGAGGCTTTTGTGAACGTCTCCGTCGGGATCGAACGGTATTTTCGACAGCTCTCGGAGCGGGAACTTACTCTCGGTGCAGTCCCTACAGGGTGAGTTTGTGGCCAAAAATTGCCTCACTATGAGCAAGACTGAACTCTCCACGCGACCTATGATTTCCCGGACTTTCGAATCTGATGTTCAACTGCGCGGACTCCGATAGTGGATTATTGAGGGGGGAAATAATGTGCCGGTCTCGGTTCTGAGTCTCGAAACCTTCACGTTCCGTGATCTCCCCCGGGCGATATATTGACTCATAGCCCGCTTTCACCGCGGAACGTCGAGTCATCGGCGATCGGAATACCTAGGGAGTTTCGGCGTCTTGAGCACGCAGCAGAGTGTATATATATCAATCTACGAGAAACTCTGCATTTATAATTTCCATTCGGAACACTTTGGCCAGGGAAGCGTGAACGATATAGAACTAAGCATCCCGTCTCTTCTTCGGCAGGTGAGCTCCATCCCTGGAAATGGCGAGGCCGAAAGCGAAGAACGTACTGGTTCTCATAAAAAGCGTCGTCTCCGGTCATATGTACAGTGTTTCGCGACCGAGACTCGAGAACAAGATCGAGACGTGGCAATGGGATCCATGGATACAGCGGATGAGCATCTACAAAGAGTTTAAGAAGATCCAGAGCATTCGATAGTATACGGGTGCTGCCGACCACTCGGATTATAGATTTGCAATAAATGTTTCGCCACAACCCAAGACAATGTCATAATTTCCTATTCTGAATTCATCAAATGAAGATCCGTATCATGGGAAATGAGTGAAGTTAGCAGGTCTTCCCGACACGAGAGGATAAGCGAATATGTATGAAGCTACCCGGATACCCGAGACACTTTCAGAAATCCTAGACACGAGCTCATTCAGTGCGCGCGCGTCAGACAGCTTGCCTGTTTAAATTTTTTCGTTCCGAAGTTCTATTCCCATTCTGTTTCCGAGAGTTTCGGCCCATCCCCCTTTAGGAGAGGCGCGGAACGAACGAAGAAACAGAGCTTGTGACACCTCCATGGAGACGGCCTGCGACTCTTTTTTGTGCGCTGGAATCAATAGCTCGAAATGTGCCCCTCGTTCAACTAATTATTATCAGTCGGCTGATGTGCTATCCAAATGATCATGGTGCGGGGCTGGACGATATGAGGACATACAAGAGCCGAAGGAGAAGTCAGGAATAGGGTGTCTCCACAATAGAGAGCGATCGGGATGGAGCCGAATCGAATTCATGCACTCCCCAAAGACGTCGTCAACAGGTATTAGATCTGATCAGACAGCAGTACTCCTTTTCGGCACTCGGGGCTCATACTCCCTGGGAAGAGGAGGGCCGCTCCCACTGCCGAGGACAATCGGAAAGCTTTGTCACCATCCCCTCTATTCTTCAGGATCGCTGCAGGAGAAGTAATCCAGAGGCCTTGCAATGCCATCAAAGAAATGCTCGAGAACTCAATCGATGCACGCAGCACAAAGATTGCTGTGACGCTCAACAATGGCGGTCTCAAACTCATTCAAATTCAGGTCTGAGAACGAATCTCACAATTTTCTCTTTCGACGAAGGCTTTCTCTTCGTCATTGGCCCAGCCTTCACTGTCCAATGATGGATTCATTTCCAGGATGACGGATGTGGAATCTCCAGAGAAGACATGGCGATTGTGTGTGAACGCTTCACCACTTCGAAGATCAGCAGCTTTGACGACCTGAAAAAAATCGCGACTTTCGGTTTCCGCGGCGAAGCTTTGGCCTCGATTACGTACGTTGCTCACGTGAAAATTTCGACGAAGACCGAACGATCCACCGTAGGATACGTTTGCCAGTACAGTGACGGCAAGCCACAAGTGAGTGCGATGTGATATATTTTGGCTCTCGTAGCAGAAACACCAGGCGCTTGGAGCATGTGTTTTCCTATACAGGACGATCCGAAGCCCGTGGCGATGAATCGTGGGACTACGATTTCTGTCGAGGATCTCTTCTTCAATGTTCCCCAGCGACGCGATGCCTTCAGGTCACCTGCCGACGAGTTCCGCCGCTGTGAAGCCGTCGTCTCGAATTATGCTGTTCATTTCCCGCGTATCGGCTTCTCTTTGAGCAAGCACGGTAATGCTTGGAGATATTCGGAGGGCTCCGACTCATTCGGATCCCAAGCATCAGTTTATGCATTTCCGTTTCACGGCGGAACGCGATTAGGGTACTCCATCATATCGAGGGTCTCTTCGGAGACTTGGTATCTGTAGGAAACCTCCTAATTGATGATCACTTTCGATTGGTGAAGGCGAAAACAGCTTTGCTGTCAACACGCGCAAGAACTCCACCGTCTTGGACAACATTCGAACACTCTACGGCCAAGAGATCGCTCGAGAATTACTGAGCTTGGAATTCGTCGACGAAAAAATAAGCATAAAGTTCGGGCCTTTGCCGGAATACATTGATGCGGGCTCGTCGATCCTCCGGGAGATAGACTAAGAAAACGTTCTTGGTGTTGCAGAGCGACTGGCTATGTCACAAAGGCCAACTACAGTAACAAGCGGAGAACTCAACTCGTCCTCTTCATAAATAATAGGTGAGCGCGGTTGGGGATGCTCTGAGGGTGCGGGCGGAAGTCTCCCGGTGTGAGTCTACGATTCTCTCGCTCCCAGGCTCGTCGAGTGCGCAGCGATTCGAGGATGTCTGGACGTCGTCTACCAGAGATATCTCCGGAAGGACGATCATCCCTTCGTGTACCTCTCGCTCGAGATGCCTCCGGAAAACGTCGATGTCAACTTGCATCCAACCAAAAGCGAAGTCGGCTTCCTCCATCAAGAATACATCCTCACGAGATTGCAGGAAGAAGTGGATAGAGTCTTGTTCTCATGTGACTCGTCGAGGTGATGGTCGGAGCGGTTCGTCAGGGAACATGTCACGAAGAGCCGAGGTTTCGCATATAGGCTTTCGGAGCGTTCACCCCGCATCTTCCTCAGGCACTATCTGACCAAACAGTCAGTCCTCCCGGCTAAAATCTGCGACTCCGTGACGCCACCGCGGAAGGACGAGCTGAGACGTGACAAGGAGGTCGTCAGGGTGGATTCGAGCCAAGAGAAGATCACGACGCTCTTCAGCCAGCAAGGAGCCGCGGGGAGCTCGAATGAGAAAGTCGAAGTTCTGCTGTCGAGCGTATGTAACGATCCAAATTGCCTCCCCGCTGGATGCTTCAATGATTGGAGCTACTCCCATCGACGATCATGGAACTTATTCAGGACTTGTTCCGCAGATACGCGAACTGAGCGAAGAATTGGCTGCGGGCACGGATGCTGAACTGAGTCGGAATTTGTCGAGAATGATTTACGTTGGCTTCGTTGCGAGAGATCGATCCCTGATCCAGATCGGAACTCAGCTGATCATGGTCAATCATCACCGATTGGCTCGCGCGCTCTTCTATCAGAACTGCTTGGATTCGTTCGCTAATTTTCCAGCGTTCGAATTCGAACCTTTGAAATTGGAGAGCATTTTGACATTGTCCTTGAAATCGGCGAAATCCGGTCTCAACGCCGACATGGACAACGCTTCTGAGCTGGTGGAGCATGCATGCAAGAAACTTCTGAGCGTCTCCGAGATGCTCAAGTGTTACTTCTCGATTGAAATCGAGGAGGACGGTTTATCTCGACTCCCTGTCGTACTGGACGGTCTGCGGCCTCGGATAGGAGCTCTACCCCTGTTTCTGCTGCGGCTCGCCTCAGACATCAATTACGAGGATGAGAAGACATGTTTCCGCGGAGTGTGTCGGGCTATCGCGGACCTGTACGCCGAGAGCTGTGATAAAGATTCGTTGAGGAATATTGTTTTTCCTGCGGCGAGGAAGAAAATCAAGGTGTCTCATAAATTCAATGAAATAATGGTGAAACTGACTTCGACTGAGGAGCTGTACAAAGTATTCGAGCGCTGTTAACCTCGAAATGACCCGAACGAATAAATTTGGCTTTCGAATAACGCCTTTATTGTTACTATGGTGATGTCAAATACAAACTTGACATGCCCCTTCAGCGCCGCTATCTCGCATTGGATCATGGTACGCTCCCTGCCGCACTCATGTTCATGCAACGATCTCTGGGATTCGCTCCGATTGGGCACTTTTTCCGAGAGCATGGGGTAAAAAACTGTCCGTTGGAAGGAATAGCGGGAGCATGTCAGACGGATGACACTTCTGCTCCAACAGACATGAAGAGGGATAGAAAATCCTATACATTCAGCGTGAAGCCCCCATAGCCAAGAGGAAATCCACATAAAATTTTACATTGAACAAAATTACAATATCTTCCCGAAGCTTACTAAACCTCGCGCGAAACTCGGCATTATCTGTCAGAGTAGTAATCTGCTTCTCGATGGTGAATTTCTTCATCTCTCTCAGGAAGAACTTACATTGCTCGGGGTTCAATTTGGATTTCACTGCTTCAAGTGCTTCGCGCTGCGCCGGGATCTTCTCCTCGTAGAATGATCGGAAAGAGGCAGAATTGAGATCAGGTGGCGGGAACTGTTCGAAATATTTGACCAGTTCTGGGGAGGCTTCCAGTCCCCAACGAATCAGTATAACAGTAAACTTCGACGGGAATGTGTTCAGGTTTCTGCTAAGTTTCTTCAAGCTGGAGCTCCGAACGGGATCCTCGCTCAATTTGACCCGCGCTAGAATCTCCAGACCGAACCGACATCGATTTTCGGCGACAAACTTCCCCAGGCAAACGAGTAGTTCGACGGAGATATCTGCTTCCGCTTCCACGAACATCTCCGAGAGAGATTCGACAAATGTTTCGAAGTTCCGGGTCTCCCTCAATGACTTGATGAAGCCTATCAAGCGCTTCCGCCACGGTCCCGGAGTCCGGCAGGCCTTCTCGACTTCTTGGAAAACATTCTGCAAGATTGTTTTGGTGTCTTGCCTCCGGCTGCTTTGACTGCTGTCGACGGCATCCTCACTTTTCGCGGCCACTAGTTCCTCATCGCGACGGGACCCCAGCACAACCTTCTCTGGAGCAGATTCCGTTTCTTGATCCCCGTCCCCCATCATCTCGTGCAGTGGAACGTTCAATTTCCGTCTCTTATTATCGTCCTTCTTAAGAGCAGGGCCGGGTGCCGATCTCCTCTTCAATTCGAACAGGGTGGGCAGGTTATCAAGAGCGCTGCTTTGTTTCTGCTTCGAAAATTGTTCCACAGCTTCAAGTACGCTCTTCCCCTTCGGAACGTCTGTGACAGCTCCCGCAGAATTCCCAGCTCCGTAGATCTCCACCAGCTTCTGGCTTTGCTTCTCCAGCTCTTCTCTCACGTCCACTAACGGTCCCTCGCTCTCAGATCTTTCCCCATTGGACGGCAATTTGTGGGAGCTGTTTACGAACGCTGCGTTCCCCGACGAAAATGACGTCAGTCGGCTCGAAACGCACTCGTTGTGGGCCTGGAAAAAACTAGAAACGCCGACGATAGCTTTCCGGAATTCTCGGAGGGTATCCACGCGATTCCGGACCCATTTAGAGAGCTGGGAGATCGTGCCCTGCTCGGCGAAGCGTTTGTCCAGGAACAAAATGACTCCGAAGTCATTTCGGTGTCGGATGACCCGACCGATGGCCTGATTGATTGCACGAATCGCCTGAATCTGATACCAGGTGTTGCCATTCATACCGTCGGAGCCATATTTGTTGAGATAGTCAATTTTCAGCTTGACTCGATTGTCCTGTCGTGGGGCGTACGGAATACCCACTATGATGACCGCTCGAGCGAATTCGTCCGAAAAATCCACACCTTCAGAACTCTTCCCGCGACACACAGCGAACAGCATGGCACCTTGAGCGTTATTGATGACTGCATCTCTGTAGCATTGTATCGTGGAATTGAAGGACGAAGATCCAGGTTCTTCCTGGAGGAGCATTTTGTGGGCCTTCAGCCTCCGCATAATGCCGAATTCCTCCCATTTTTCTACGAGCGCCTTCATGCAAGCGAACGACGGGAAGAAGACCAGCACGCCGTGAGGTACTCGGCGGGACATTTCGTTCAGCGTGAGACCCAGGCTTCGGATGTATTTCTCGCTAGAACGATTCTGGTACGTTGAAATTAACTCCACATTATCGGGTCCCTTCGGCACACAGAGAACTTGAATTTTGTCCGGGGTTATGATGTGATCGTTACTCAATTGGATCTGAAAGGGGATACCAAGTTCTGTCGCCAAGGTTCCCATAGGAGACAGGGTTCCACTCGTGAGTATCACAGAATGCACTCCGGCTTGAACTATAGATTTCATACGCACGCCTGGTGCCAAACACACGAAATGTAGTTCCCATTTTTTCTTCTTCCGCTCAACCACAAAAACCTCTTTCGGTCCCTCCTTGGGATGCTCGAAGAATAACTTGAAACTCTCGCGAAGCTCCTGTGCGGTGCCACCTGAGTACACGGTCGACAGCATATCAAGAACTTTCTGTAAACCGATCCCCTTCGGACCCCACGGACCCTGAGACGAGATACTCTGTATGTACTTCAGCAACGAGTCCAGCAGGCCCGTGATCCGCTCATGCTGGGCATCGATCTCTGAGGCTTGCAGCATTTCTACGATGAAATCCCCATCGTAATGCTTGTCCGTTTCAGCGGCTTTGTCGAATCGGGTTTCCAACTCGCCCAGCATGGACTTGAGCACCGAGAGCTCAGCGACGTTGAATTCCATGTTGTCCGCTTCTTCCGAATTGGCAAGGTTTTGAGCCACCGCGTCGATTTCCTTCATCGCACCCGCCATGTCGGTTGAAGACATCGCGAACGAGAGTGAGTCCTCGCAGAACGACTCAATATTATGAGCTTCGTCGAATATGACGATGTTCCGCTCGAGCCCAATGCCTTGAGCGCGTCTCGTTGAAGGATCAACAACATAGTTGTAGGGTACGAACACGACATCGCTTTTCTTCCTCAATATCTTGGTGGCGTAGTACGGACAACAGCAGTGCTTCTTTCCGAGGGTCACCAGGTCTTCGATATCGACGACGTGATTTGTGGTGAAGTCTTCGTGACTGACTTTGGTCTCGTAGTTCCGATGGTATTCGCAAGCTCTCGAATTCACCAGGATCTGGCACTTGCGGATTTTCTGGGCTGAGTTCGGCAATCCGTTCACCTCAGGATTTATGCACAACTGATCTCTGGAACCGAGCACGACGCTGTTCATGTACCGGTATTTGGTTCGTTTGAGTTCGCGGCTAGCCTGGGAGAGCTGGGAATGAGTTCGTGATGAATAGAGAACTTGGGGATAGAAATCGAATGACGATGAGGTCTGCGTCGGAGTTTCTGCAGCACTCAGTTTTGGCAGAGAGCCTCCGGCGTCTTGGGAAGAGAAACTCTATGTTAGTGGGCTATCGTGGTAATTCCATTCAAGACGGCACGTACGGTTTCCCTGTAAGCTGACTACGACTGCGCGGATCTAAACTCACAATTCAGCTGCATTGCAGCTTTGCGATCTTCCAGCCATGCTAGCGATGAGCATAACAGGCTCAGAGTTTTTCCGGTTCCGGTGGGGCTTTCCAGGAGTCCGTTCCAACCTTTTTGTAAACATTCGAGAACGGCTGACATGTAGTCCTTCTGTAACTCATAGGGCTCGAAGGGGAAGCTTATGTTAACCATCCGGATCTCGACAAGAGCTGATCGAGGTTTTGAGGATACGGGAGCATCCTCGTCAGGATCACCGTCTTCAGACATCGCCTCCTTCTCCTTCATTCGGAACGGAGCACCGAACCGAGAGATACTCCAGCTGACAGCGGACTTCGTCGGTGAACAAGTTTGAACACGTAACTTCGGCTTATCGTTGATACACCAACAGAGGGGTCTTCAGGTATCGCCGAGAGTCTCCCCTCATCCTCATTCGGGCTGACAGAAGTTTGCCCTGAGAATAAAATCTCTTTCCACTCTCGATTCGCAACAGCCCCGTTGGAGTTCGCGCGCGTTTGTGGTGCTGTCGGCTAAGCTCATTATTCTCTCTCTGCTAGATCAGCGGCGCGACCAGAGCGCCCCCAGGCGAACTGGTCCGCCGCCATCGGGCGGTCACAAGTTCGCGGTGTCTTGACGAGCGTGTGTCCCTGCCCCGAATTTCTTCCTTGTTACTGCTTACAAGGAAGAAATTCGGGGCAGGGACACACGCTCGTCAAGACACCGCGAACTTGGAGAAATTCGGTTCGGCGACTAGTTCGGCGTTCCGTGTACTCTGCTTGAAATACCAGGGAAGAGGGACGGGGCGCCGCGCCGAGGAAAATCTGCGGCTGCCAGCGGCTATTCCATTAATCCATTACGCGCGGCGCTCAGGTTCGGTGCAAGGACACATGCCAACTCCTCAGATCATTCACGAATCGTATTGAATATTCGTCAACAGAGGAATTTTCGCAAGCTAGACACTTTTTCGTCGGGGAAGGCTCGAGATCCCGGTCGTCGAAAACTTCAGGGAAAAGTCTATGAATTGAGTTCCGCCTCTCGAATCTCGACTACCTAAATCTTATCTTCTCGGAGTTTTCGTTTTTCGCATGCAGAGCAGAGGTGTGCGACTCGTGAACCCTCGTGGAACTGATTGAAACCCTCGAATATGCTGGAATTTTAGAGGGAGCTCTCCGAATCTTATTGACAAGAAAATGTTCGCTGATCGCCGATCTGAAGGAAGAAGGAGATCTCCAGCTCATACAATTGGTGGAATTACAGAGAAAGACGGAGCGGTTAAGAGTACCACTATTCTGGCCCTGGGCTGAGACGAGGTGGAGGCGACCGTGCCGAACGAGTCGAAATCGACAAGGAATATCCTTTCAAATCTGGCAGAATCACGTCAGCGGTAGCCCAGAGGAGTTTTCCCGCGGCGACTGAGTCGCGGGAAGAAAATATGCAGCCGGGATTTTCGGTCGCCGAAAACCTTGATGCCTAAGCCCTGAAGGCCTGCGGGAGCGAACTTCGGCATCTGGGCTCCCTGAGCTTCAAAGCATGGAACCCGTAGCACGAGACCGAAGAGAGGAGGGAAAAATCTCAAGGAACGGCTCGGGATGATCAGGAGGCCGAATTATCGCGGAGAAATATCATGTCACCTCACTTCAAGCGAAGAACATTATAACTCAATAACTCTTCTTTCCTCTTCTTATCTACCGCGATAGCCTGCAATTTTTGGTGGGCTGGATGCGCACAAGGTGGCGATCTGCTTTACATTTCGAGCTGCGCATCGTCGATGCGAATCAGTGGCACTGGAGCCAAAGCGCCCCTGACCGGATGGAACGTTTCATTCCAGAGTCTCTGTGGTTGCCCTCAAGAAAGTGAGCAATTACGGGACGACTCCAAGAGTGCTATCGATGATGATGGTCGATGCATAGAATTGAGATCATTGGTCCAGGAGCCCAAGATTCGATCCTTGACACCGTCATCGGAGAGTGAGGAAGTGGCTCCTTAGAGTGTTTTGGTCCACCGATCCTCGGGGTGAAGCTGTGTGGAAGTATTGTCGGTGGAGACGGTCTCTCGCCGGTGCGGCAAACTCGCTGTAAGATAGTCCGAACACTATCGAAACTCGGTATCGCTGCTCGAATTCCTCCCCCGTCGTGGTTGACTCGCAACGTTTTCACGGTGATCATCCACGCATCGGTATACGCTTCCCTCAGGATCACGGTGTGACCCTGTGAGATCTCACTGATGAGTGAAAGAATCTCTCCGGTCTGGAGATAGCGTCGTCTGCTAGCGCGACCGCGGACACAGAGACAACACCAGAAACCGAAAGAGGGGCTGTGTAGTGTGACGTTACAGCAATCGTCGAATCGAAAACCTGAGAATATTCTCCCGGAAGAGCCCTATTCCATTCACACATTCAAGCCCGGAGTTAGGTAAACAATGATGAAGAATGGATTTGTGGTGAGTTTACCGTCTGGGTGGTATCCGCGGTCTACGGGGAACCGGCATCGACTCGGGCTCCTGTCAAAGAGATGAGTGACAAGTTCCGAGATCATTGCACCGTGGTGTCTATCTTTCTGGAATAGCCGAGGGCTATTTCCACTGCAAGGCCAGCCCGAGATAACCTCCCCCGAAATGTTCCCCCACGTGGGTGCTCTATTCCGCGCGGGAAGAACTCACGTGAAACCTCGAAGCTCCGCCCAGGCTCTCGCAGGCCGCGCTCTGACGGATGGTCTGGAGGAAACGACGGTTTCCCGGATTCACTACCGGTCGGGCATGATTCTCGTTGCGCACTCGATTCGGAGGGAGCTCGGGACAAGACCGATGACTCACCAAACCCATGTGTCTCACGGGCGACATCTTCCAGGGACCGGCGAATGCTCAAATACCTCCTCTTGGAGACCTTCCAAAATCATTAACTGTCAACCGGAAAGACGTCCAGGCTTACGACCTGAACCCGTTCTCGTTCTACGTCAACTACGATACGAACAAGCTGCGGAATGTGGATTTGAAAGCTCAGGAATTCGGTCAACGTTTCAAGAAAGATGATCACGCGGAAGAGCCCCAGCGATGGGCTCTGGTTTCACTCGAAGACCGCTGGTATCGAGCTGAGGTCTTGGAAAAATATTAGTGAGTCAACACTAGGAATAGAGGGGTTGATGATATAATATCTTGAACCTACGCCTCGTGGAACCGTCGTTTCTTATTCGAGCCGTCGAAAAGTAGATATATCTCGTTCCCCGAATTCTTCCTCGAAGTTCGATCTCTCCCTGCAGTAACCGAGACGGAGAATGCTACCGAGCGGAATGTTGCCTGATCGACACTGGCCGCAAGCTCCTTGTGGACATCGAACGTATATTTCCGGTGGGTTAGCAATTCATGTTTCCAATATGCGGACTGTAATAATGATCCAATTGGAAATTCGGTGAACATTCATGATATTCCGAGTTTCTCGCGCGCTAGATGCCTGCTGAAGTCCTCACCGCTGGTCCAGCCCAAAGTCTTCGAGTTTTCCCAAAGAATGTGGCGGAATGTAACCGACAGCTCTTCGAGCTATTCGAGTGTTATCCTGAAGTGAAATTCCGAGTGGAATTTGAGGAAAATCTTAGCAAGAGCTGCAAGAGCAAGCCCCATCTCGTCGGATCCACAGCGGAAGTTTTCGTCGGAAACCAGGAATGGATGTCGCTCGTCGCGCTCCTGCAGACCTCGTGAGTACAGCTCTGTCAGAGAGATCATTTCGCTCTAGCTATTGAATGAAGGCAATGTGATAGCGTCAGGTGTACTGAATCAGGTTGAGTAAGGGTGATCTCATTTCTCTCCGGCAGATTTATCGAAGTAGATGAGAATTCGGTCGGTGACTCTCGGAACCAGAAGGGACTAGCTTCGCGAGTCGATGGCAGATCTTTGGAGTCGGAAAGCGAAGCCGACTACCCCGAGTCAGACGATACGGAGCGTGATGGGGGTGCCACCGTTCGGCGCCGAGAATCGCCATCCCCTGGGGAATATGTTGAAACGCAACAGATTGTTGATCTCGTACTGGATGCGAGCGGTAAGCGTGGAGAGAAAATCCAATCCCCCGGAGTCTGCCGCGGATCAGCTCGGAGAACCTCACGTAGAGCATCTGCAAGGATATCGCGGGTCTTGGCATGCATACGTTATACGATGAATATGATCCAGAATCTGCTCGAGAATGATAGTCTTTTGATTCCGTATCTGAGCATGGACGCGAATATGTTCCCAGGTGATGGTGCGACTGCGCGTTCTACTTCCTCGCTGGTCGTCGCCGCAGTTCAGAGGCAAGCTGCTGTCAGTGGTCCACGGATCATGGACAGCGACGATGATTCGAGCAGCGGCGGAGACAATAAAGTCCCAGGCCCGGAATCTGACGAACACGTCGCGAATATATCGTATATTCCTCGTGATCAGAAGATTCTCACTGATGTGGAAGGTGAGTTCCCTGTTCCAGTTTACAGCGATACCCCGGGGCAAGGCTTGTCCTGGGCGGCGGGTAGAACCTCAGAGGGATCGACGCAGGAGCAAACTGCGTCAGTAATCCGCTCAGGGTGATTTGAGCACTTCTCGGAAGAGCTTCCCGAATCGCCCCTGAGGCCCTAATTTCCAAATACACATACAGGGGAGAATCAGGGAGCTATGATGACTCAACGGAGTTACGAGAACGCCAAACAGGTTGCCAAGCGCAACGAGTTTCGCGACCGATTCTGCAGAAAGTATGTTCAACATTTGGGTTTGATAGTTATGAGTTCTAATTAACCAGATAGAAAAATTGGAGCTCTTATTTTCTACCGGTTTTCGGTGTCTTTCCTCCAACATCTCGACTTTCTCTCCCAGTTTCCTAAGAACGGGAGAATGTCTGGAGGGACAACACTGCCCCCACCTCCACGAAGTTCCTCTCGAGAAAGCTCTGACGGCAACAGGCCACACGGTCGACTTCCAGGACTTCCGAGATATCGACCTGAAAGGAATCGAGTGAGTTCCCTTAAATGACATCTTGAAATCGGGGGGAGGTCTGCTCCCTGAACGACAGTACAACAAATTTTCAGCGTCGGCTTCGGAGTTTGCACTCATGTCGATGAGAGCGGTTGTGTTCACCTTGTGCTGCCCTACGGAGCCCTATCGATTTGGGGCGTCTTGGAGTGCAAAGGGAACCTGGAGCTCGAGTTCCGTCAAATCTCGAGAGAGCTTCCAGCGCTTTACGATCATCAAATGGGGAACAAGAACAAAGTCGACCCGAACGGAGATGTAGCTGTGGTTTGGGTTGAGAAACCTGACAGTGGACGCTTACGGAACGTGTGCCAAGGATGGTATAGGGCGAAAATATTGAAACGGGAGCAGAAATCGTGAGTTAGGCTGCATGTATCTATTTCTGCGCGAAGGTCGAAATGCTCGGCGTGGGAGGCAGTATGTCCGCTCCATGGATCCCGTCTGAGCAATATAGTCGACTCAGTATTAATCAGGCTTGCTTGCAGTTACAAAGTGTATCTAGTGGATCACGGGGCAGAGCTCTCCATCGAGAAGGAGCATGTGTATCCACTCGCTAAAAGTCTTCTCAGTTTCCCCAAACAATCGATCAGATGTCAGCTTCAAGGTGAGAGCCGTCGAGCCGTCTCGAGCGAGGCGGGTCTTCCCTTTGTCGTGACTACGAATGACTCTGTTCTTCCGTGGCCATAATTTTATCCCTCGAGGTTCGTCCGGCATCTTGACCTCCGACCTTAGACGTGCTCATTTCCAGGCACCAAACTGATAGGAAACGAGAGCGCGATGCTCGACATGCTCAAAGGGCACATCATAATCTTTAAGCTGTACGAGTACAGCGTGAAGGACAACCTGCACAAAGTAGAGCTTTTTAAAAAAACCGAAGATGTCTCAATCCACTACGGCGAGGAGCTGGTGAAACGAGGTATTCTCGCTCGAGCCGACACCCCGTAGAACAAACTGAAGGCACGAATTCCCGCTCCGCTGCTGTTCTGCGTAGGAGGAATTGATTCCGATGAGGCGATCTTCCCCGCATCTGAGTCAGACGACCCGGAACCCGGACACCAACGAACGTGACCCGCTGACTCGGTCCTGTAAAATCAAGAAATCTGATGTTATCTTGTTGTATATCCGGAGAGCGCCCTCGAGTCCGCTCGACGAGATGTAATCCTGAATATACTGCCGAGGATTTTTGGAGAATAAATGAATAAACGTTTTTGTCACGGCCCCACTACCTTTCCGCCGATTCATCGAGCGAATGGCTCGCATCTAATAATTTGCCTAATCGACACGCGGGGGTTAGCGTTGAAGAGGAATGCTCCGGGTCGTAAAGGTCAGTTATAAGCCGAAGAGAGCCGAGACGATCTCGAACGAATGGAATCTTCCCCGTAGTCCTGTCTCGATAATTAGAGGCAAATAGTGCCCGAAATCTTCGGGGACGAGCCAAGCCTGAATAAGATTAGACAGGCTAGCAGCCCCGAAAGTCCATGGGTCAGGGATTCAAGAACAGGGGCGGGTCCCGGCTGCGTAATGCATTGAATCAAATACGCCATCGAAGCCTCTCAGGGAAGAAGACATTACGCGGAACGTCCGTCTCGGCGGCTTCTGTGAGGGGGCTTTGCTCTGTCGGTGGCTCCCCGAACATTTGGGATCTTCCTTGAGTATTGACAGTCAGGACGCTGCTTTCTCCGAGAGCCTCGGCTGTCAATCTGTCTTCGGAGGGGGAAGAAGTATCGCTCACCTGCCCCGAAGTAGAAATCAAATCTGAATAGGCGAAGTATCCATCGGATTCCAATCGTATATTCGGAGCCTCCGCTGGGCAGGAGGCTGACTCCCCCTTGATCTCCTCCTCCTCCTCCTCCTCGAGTGTCGGTTAGGGCTCAAAGTCCCGTTCGGGAGCGTGACGCGCATCTTGCTCGAAGGACACCGCGCTACGTTCCTGTTACGCGTAGGATGATAATAACAATAGACGCTTGTGCCTCAAGAAACGATCTATTTGTAGACGACTCGTTGAGCCTCTAAGGAGCTTCCCACTCCGAATCGGGGTCTGTCGGCTAGTATCGCTGCAGGAGTCCCTCGGTGTCGCGTATCATCCTTGAGGAGGGTTGTCCGTCTAGTCCCAGTCGTTTCAGTAGCTCTCCTTCCTCGAAAAATGCTTCGTTGCATTCGAAGATGACGTGGCTCAAGGTTCCCGGTACCATTCCTCACTTGACACATGTAGAATCGAGTCTCGGTTCGGAGTGAGACCGGGTGCTTCTTGTCCTCAGCATCCCGGCTCGACTGAGAACCAGTAGGCCGATACTCTGCTGTTGTCATGATTCAGCCAGAATTTCGAGAAGCCGGAATCCGAGGAGCCCCAATCCTAGGAGCCAGAATTCTCAAGAGCCTGAATTCTCAGAAACGAGAATTCTCAGAAGCCAGGATTCTCAGATGCCAGATTTCAAAAGCCGGCATTCTCAGATGCCAGATTTCAAAAGCCGGCATTCTCAGAAGCTAGAATTGCGGAATCCGGACTCTCGGGAGCCAGGATTCCCGAGAGCCGGAAATTCCTACGCTATACAAGTCCTATACTGATTGAGGCTCCCTCCTGCAGCGGTACCTACACGATTTCCTACATTCGATTCCCATGGGCCTCGTTCTATCCCAAGGGGAAGCATGGGATGGAGGGAATTCCCTCCCATGCTTTCTGAGGAACGATGACCTAGGATTTCCCTCAAGCTTCCCATATCTTTGCTTATGATAGTCTCGTCTGATACATTGGATTGGATCAAAGCCTTCACTCCTATTGCTGGAAATCGAAGGCGTCGCTGAGAATATACTCCTTAAGAGTGATTGATTCGCTCCCCAAATTCTCAGTGAACCGATTGAGCTTATCGTTCGAAATTTTGTACTTCTTAGAAATTTTTTTTGGGGCTTTCCCCGCTCGGTGGAGGAGTCTCGCGGCTTTTCCGACGGATTCTTCTTTTTTCAGAAACTTCATCATTTCAAAGAGATTCACGGGGTCTTTTGGGACAATCTTCGACAAAGTACTGTGCCAACCTTTGACGTGGTTCGTCGCTGCTCTACCTCTGGATCGCCGCAGAAGGGTTCGAGACCCAGAGTCTGGAACTTCCGCCAGAGGCACTGCCAAAGGTGGAAGTTGCAACCTCTGATTTGTGGCAGAGGAAACTCCGTCTGGATAGCCCCGAGTGTGGCAACCTCGCAATCTATTTGGAAAGCTCGAGGAGCAAAAACTTTCCCGTTCGCAGCGGCGATGGTCTTCAGTGAGCGAAACATCCTACAGTATGTCCCCTTGGTCTTAATGGGCAATAAGAAGAATGCCAAGGGGAACATCCCACCCCGATAAAGGGCATGCAGCGTGTGTAACTGGAGGAAGAGTCGCGGGACGACCCTGAATGTCCCGTCCATGAAGAGTGTCGTGGCGTCCCACAAGATCTCCATCACCTCCTTTGTTCCGGAGCCCTGAATTTTATCATCACTACTGCCGGCGAGAAAGTGTTTTATTCGAAAGCGCGCCTTCTCCATCTTCCATCGAAGATGGCGGGCCGCTGTTCGCGTGCCACTAACGGGCGCAAGCCACTAAACAACTCCGCCAAGGCGCAAGATTCCACCGAAGGACTTGGCACGAGGATACCAAGCTTGAAAATGGGCCGATAGCCCAGCGAGGAGATCTGACGTCTCCGGAGAACGACCACTTCATCGACGAACTCCGTCTCGGTAACGATGGATAAAAATAAGGCGGCTATGAAGTGACCCTCTACCTCCAATGCCTGACCGTTCACAGCGATGCAGCTCGATTCCATAGGAAGCAGCTTCGGTGAATTGAGGCGTTTCCACTCGGCTGTCCCGATCGTAGTCGAATCAGCACCGGAATCGACGCGTAGCCCAATCGGGAAGCCATTCATGAACACCGTCGCGTGAGCGCGTCCACGAACCCTTGAAGTTTCTCCAACGCTTGAACTCAGGAGTCCGATCGTGTTGAGACCCTTAGGTGACTTCTTCTGGTACGACGAACAAACTTCCTTGGTGTGACCTTGGCGTCGGCAAAAATGGCAGGTAGCCCTCGAGAACCGACAGTAACGGCGACGATGAAGACCACTACAACTTTCACACTCAGAAGAGCTTCTGGTGCACGGACTCCGCACTTTATCAGAATTTTGGGTGCCCGGGTTTCCGGGTCGGAATCGAGTCTCGGTCTTCTGTTGCTTCAGACCGATGATCGTGACCTCACCAGCCTTCGCAGATGGAACAATCGCCGATCCTAGAGTACGGGTCGAATAACTTACGAGGATATTCCGTAACTCCGGGATTGTCAGCTTGGCCTCATCGTCCACCGCTTTCAACATGACGTTCCGTAGATTCTTGAAGGCTGGACCCGACGCATGGTTGATAGTCAAGAATATATCAAACATCTCCCCTGTCAGGCTGTTCCATTCGAATTGATCTCCCTTGAGATTCGCCCAGTCCACAATCATCGAGAGGTGCACTCTGCGTGAGAATCTTATGTCGTCTCCGAAAGACGGACTTCGTGGGACGAGAGGTCTTCTCTAAGGTATCAATGATTTCGGCGTGCCCCTTTGCCTCCGGCTTCTCCGGCGACAGCCGGCTGAGGAGCCTAGCGTACTCAACCGGGCCGAGTGCCTCTGGTAGCAGCTGTGACCGCAGTCGCCGAGGCGACCGAGTTTCTTGCGCCATTGCTCGAGCAAGCCTTCGTCGTAGCGGGAAGCGGGCACCTGGGAGTCGGGCATCTGGGAGTCGGGCATCTGGTACCTAACCAGTTTTCGGAACTTCCGAGGCTACGCTAGTCGGTTGCATCAACTCAATGAGTTCGTAGCGGGTATCCGGGAATGCCTTCTTCCGACTGCGCTCGTGGGGGCGAACAAATACCCGGCACTAACTGTTCAAGACTCTGAACACTACCTAGATGCCTAGGAGGACATCTGGACAGACAAGTCTCAGAAATTTTTAGAGCCAACTGCGAGCGAGAGCAGTGTGGGAATCTAATAGATTCGAGATCTTTAAGACCTTATGAAAGGCGGTAGCCGCACCAGCGCTAGCTTACGCCAACGCGTTGACGGTCATGACACGGACTTTGGAAACGGCCCGTCGTCCGTGCCGCCGCAGAGCGAGCCTTTCGATGCTTCGGCGATGTCCTCATGCTCCTGTCAGATGTGACCGAACGAGCCGACAGAGGATGGCTTCTTGATCTCTCCCAGTTGATGACGACGACCGACCCCGAGGTCCCACCTGACGGCTGTGATCCTGATGACGTCGCATGAATATTTTCGACTTATATCCGCACCGAGTCATCTAGCGGAAGACGGTCTCCTCCATTTGGCTGCGTGAGAGTTGTGATTTCGTGTCGTCCGAGGTGATAGAATCCGAGGCTTCTTCGAATGATAATTACGTCACCTGCTTCGGAGTTCGATGATCCCTCGAGTCTCATAGGCGCCGGAGTCCCGAGCCGAGTCCAACAGCCTGTGGCTGCGTGGATCTTCTGCACGGCGCAATCAACAGTAGAAAGAGTGAGATGTAACGATGAAGTACGGGACTTGAAGAGGACGTCCCGACCGCAGAATCGTAAGCGCTCCTCACGGAAGGGGCTTTTCACCTCGTCGGCGGAATCCGACGCCCCCAACGTACTCAGTCGACGCGCGTGACGAGTTGCTCGTGCACTCAGCGGAGTTCAAATCCAGTGGCTGCGCGTCTAACAAGTACCCTCGAGAGATGAAATCCGTCGCGGCGAAAACGCGACACGCGTGGTCGAGACTTCGCGGTGAGGGTTCGGAAATCCCCCATTGAGATCGGAAAGAACATAAATAGTAGAATCATCGGAGCTTCGGCCCACATGTCGGTTCGTGCGCACACCTACGATGGCTGGAGACAGACTGCTCAGGTTATTGCTGCTCTTGGTTGTTGTGCCTCGATGCACCGGATCGCCCACGAGGAAGTTG